ATTTCGAGTTTGTGAATCACAAGTGTGATATGACAAAATCTCAACCAGATGTTTCTTCTGATATACATTTAGAAGAGACAGCAGACTCAGAGCTTTAGTATTCAATCTGTAAGATTAAGCAGAGTTCAGTACCTAGATATTGGCATTTTAAAATTCACCATGGAAAACTCTTCAGTTAATTAGAAGTACTTCTCAACTGAGGAAAACTAATAAATACAACAAGCTGTTGAGCTTACTGTTTGATATAAGAATGCTGGTTTAGGGGGGAAGGAAAAAAGAACTGTGCATCTGACAAGCATGTTTTTTTGGGAGGGATCTTGTAATGCAGTTAGACTAAAACCTGAACCAGCCATTCTATTTATTTAATTATTCTTAGTTTTATTAATCTTAAACGTTAGAGACATTAAAGAACTAAAAAGATGGGCACAGTGGCATGTCTATAATTGCAGCATTTCAGGAGGTGGATAGCCTAGGCTACCTTGTCTCATAGACAAATACAGTATAATTCTTCCTAACATGTGGCTTTTAAGCTATTTATTTATTTATTTATTTATTTATTTATTTAAGCTTCAAGGTAAAAACTGGAGATACACCTTTGGATACATTACATATGAACTTAAGACTTACCTTTTGTTTATTTCATAGGCTGTGAAAATGAGTAAGTCTAAAAAAGTTCAGTATTAGCCAGGTGTGTTACAACTTTTTAAATTATAGCATTCAAGATGCTAAGGAAGGAAGACTGAGTTTGAAGCCATTCTGAATTATATATAGTGAGACTGTCTCAAAAAAAATTTTAACTACTGTACATAGCCAAACACTAAAATTATTTAACCCTGAATTTTCTGAAGACTGTCAGAGAATGTCAATAGGTGTTACAGTAATCAAAAGACCTGTGATCTAGAACTAGTTTTGGTGGTGTATGCTTATAATCCCAATACTTTGGAGGCAGAGGCAAAAGGACTGCCCATGAGTTTAAGGCCAGCCTGGTCTACAAAGTGAATAGCAGGCTAGCTGGAGTTACATACAGCAAAAGGCCTAGCCTAAATCAAAGAGGGCAAAATTAACTTATAAAAATTGGGGACTGACTGTACTCTGCCAAGACAGGGTAAGATGGTCTTTCAGAATTCCTGCTTCTGAAAATGGTCTGTCAGATACTCTAGGCCTGTAGCCAATTTGAATGCACCAACAATGCTGAGAAACATTAGGTGACTGTCTAGGCTGCCAGCTGTCTTGGTCTACTCTTGCAAGATTCCTGAAAGTTGCTTGCATCCATCTACCATTTCTCAGGTACCATTATGTTCCTTCTCAGGTCTTTGATATGGTTAAAGACTAGATAGTTGTAATTTCCTCAGTTATGATAAAAGATAAGTTAGATATAAAACCTTAAACTCACAAATATAAGATAGATAGGACATCTTCTTTAATATTGTAACTGCAATTCGTTAATTGTTTTGTTATATGTAATTTTACCATGTTAAAGTTAAAACCTTTTTAAAAAAAGAAGAAAGGGGAAGTGCTGTGGATATCACTCTATATAAATAAAACACTGATGGCCAGTGACTAGGCAGGAAGTATAGGCGGGACAAAGAGAGAGGAGAATTGGGGAAACAGGAAGAAGGGAGGGGGGACACACTGCAGCCACCGCCAGGAGAAGCAGCATGTAAAGACGCCGGTAAGCCACCAGCCACGTGGCAAAGTATAAATTTATAGAAATGGGTTAATTTAAGATATAAGAACAGTTAGCAAGAAGCCTGCCACGGCCATACAGTTTGAAGGAAAAAAAAAAAAAAAGAAATGGGAACTGGGGGGGGAAAAAAGGCTTGCAGACATGAGGACCTGATTCACATCCCCAGAACCCACACAGCTGGATATATCTACAATGCCAGCATGAGGAGCAAAGATTGGCAGTTCATGAGGAGCAAAGATTGGCAGTTCATGAGAGCTCCCCAGCAAAGTGTAATTGATATTCGGTGAGCTTTTAGTTCAGGGAGAGACCCTGTCATGAATGCACAGTTCAGTGTACTCCAACATGTACATGGCTCCACACACAAAATTCTATAGACTCACATTTAGGAAATTCTAGCTGGTAAAAATCCTCTAATGTGTAATTAATTACATTATAAAGACACTCTACTAACAAGACACAGCATCTCAAATTTACCATACTGTTCATGGAGCTTCTTAAGTAACTAGTACTCCAAGAAAGTAATTTCCAGACATGCTAGAAACAACACGAATATCCATATTATAAAACAGTGTTCTAATTGAACCCTGTCAGAAAGAGATCAATCTTTGACTATTTGATTAGTTACCTGAAGTAATTAACTTGGGACAGGGTTTGACTTAGACTGCAAATACAGATAAAATTTTTTGTTTTGTTTTCGAGACAGGGTTTCTCTGTGTAACTTTGGTGCCTGTCTTGCATCTCACTCTGTAGACCAGGCAACTCACAGATCCACATAGCTATGCCTTCCGAATGCCAGGATTAAAAGCGTTCGCCAACACCACCCGGCTCACAGATCAGTTTTTAAATGGCTTTAAATGTGTCATCTATATCACAACCCTTTTCCCTAAGGCTTGGGGACCTATGTAAAACAGGGAGCAGGAATATCCTAAGAGCCAGATGTTGTGGCGTGCTGCTGAAAATTGCCTTTTGGACTTGAACAGGGCTGGTGCATTCAAGAATGCACAACAGCTGGGGCTGCCTACCCAAGACTTGCAGGGAATCAAGCCAGCCAAACTCCAGCATGTGTAGGTGTTACTTTCTGAGGCCCCACCCCTAGCTAAAGAACTAACTACTGGCAGTTGATAGGGGTCTGGGAAGGAAGGGTCATTTTTCTTCAATGAAGTGTGGGCCCTGATAAGATGCATATGCTCCAGTGGGCAGCCTAATAAAAAAGCAGTATGTGGGCAACAGTAATTGAACTCTGGGTTATAAAGGAAAAAAGACATAAACTTGAGAGGATATGTTAAAATGGAGAGGCCTGGGAAGAGTTGGTTTGGTTAAGGAGTAGATATGACCAAAATACATTGTGTGTATGTAAAATGGTGTATGATATTATCAGAGTAAATTAATTTATTTCTAAAAGGCTGAAATGTAGCTCAACATGTGCCTCAAATCTAGCATCACAAAAAAATAAGAAAATTTCTGATTTTTGTGATTATGCAGATCCACAAGCAGATTAAATCAATTCTACCTTTATATACTATGAGAATTTTACCAAATCGTCTATGTCAACAAGAATACCACTTCTTTAAAGAGAATGGAATAATTCAGTATCTACACACATTTATTGTCTGTTGACATACATGAAAACTTCATAATCTACAAACCACAAAAAGGAAAAAGGTTTTTTGAGAACAATGTTAAAACAACAATTATTCAAAATTTTCTGTGTCTTACCTGCCCAATTCCTTCAGTTTCTTCTGGAATTTACAGTGGATTTTCCATTGCCATTTCCCTTCTGGAGTACTAAGTTCTTCAAGGAATGTCAAAAAATTTTTCAGGCTCTCTGTTACAGACAATGAAATTCAGATTTTTAAAGTCAGTATTAAACAGTCTATGCCATGCCTACATTTTGTATGAAGTGCTTATTCATATTTATATACATCTATTTTCAATGTACCATATATTTATCATCTTACTCTGAGGGAAAAGGGAACTCCTTATAACCTTAAAACACAAACAAAACAAATACCCAATAAGATACCACCACTGAAGTAGTCCAAGTGTCATAGCAGGGTGTGTGTGTGTGTGTGTGTGTGTGTGTGTGTGTGTGTGTGTGTGTGTGTGTGTGTGTGTGTTTACATTAGGCTGAAACACACAATGGATAAATGCTAATGTATCTCTAAACCTATAAAGAATGGAGAAGAAAACTAAGGTGGCAAAAGCTGCAAATGACACAATAGATAATACTTTATTTATTTGTTTATTTTCGAGACAGGGTTTCTCTGTATAGCTTTGTGCCTGTCCTGGAACTCACTCTGTAGCCCAGGCTGGCCTCGGAACTCACAGAGATCCTCCTGACTGTGCCTCCCAAGTGATGGGACTTAAAGGCCTGCGCTGCCACCACCTGGTGATAATACATTTTTTAACCCCTTAGTTTAAATTTTCCCTGAAAACCTAGGGCAACCAAAACCCAGAAATAACATGCTAAAAATAACACACTCCTTCTTTGGCCGGGCTGTGGTGGCGCACGCCTTTAATCCCAGCACTCGGGAGGCAGAGCCAGGCAGATCTCTGTGAGTTCGAGGCCAGCCTGGGCTATCAAGTGAGTTCCAGGAAAGGCGCAAAGCTACACAGAGAAACCCTGTCTTGAAAAAACAAAACAAACAAAAACAAAAACAAAACAACACACTCATTCTTACCAATTGTGACAACCTCTGGATTTAGAATTGATTCATCAGACACAATAAAGCCACCGGACACAAATAACTCATTGTATGTATGATTTTTAACATCATCTAGGCTATCAACACCAGCAAAACTAACACATGGGAGCTTCTTTAAAGTCACCAAGCCAGGTACCTGTTAAATAAAAAACAAAACCGGAAATAGGATGGATAAATGAACAAATAAATATATTTATATTTAAGTATAGAATAACCTAAGAATAAAGTTTAAAAAAAAATACTCTATTGCTCATCACTGCCTGTGGAAAGTCACAAAATTAATATTTTAAGTATTACTTCCCAATATAAACCAATATTTATGAACAGAACACTAAGGAAAAAGAAGTTTACATTAGGCTGAAACACAAAATGGATAAAATGCTAATGTATCTCTAAACCTATAAACAGCTAGAACTCAAAACTAGGAGCCAGGTGTGGTGGCATCCATCTGTCATCCTACCTGAGATAAGGAGGAAGGAGGATTAGGAGGCCAGCCTGGGCTACATAGTTTGAACCAGTCTAGGCTACACAGGATACTGCCCAAAAAAAATGAAAAATTGGGCTGGGAGGAGAACCTATGGTGCTAGGACAGTGATCAAAGGCTGACTCGAGGCAGCCTCCTAAGACCAGGACAAGCTACTGCTAAATCCAAGGTGAATGGGGATTCATGGCAAAGTTTTATCTAGAAATTCATATATAGATAACAGTATGGAGAGTTAGCAGAATGCCCCTCCCTTCTGCATTCAAGAATCCAGCACATCTATTAATGGAAAATTCATAACATCCAACTCCTTCACATATACAATTCTCATAAGCTGGCTCTTGGACAGGTACTTAAGTTTTACCTTCATTTTAAAACAAAAGCTTTGTTCTCAGAATAAGATTTAACAATGAGGTAGTTTTAGAAAACAAATTAGTGAACTGGACTTAATAGTCTACCTTGTGAATGAAATCTGCAATGTCTTCATTTTGAATAATAATCAATAGTTTATCTAAGGTTGATCTTCTTTCCAAAAACTGATCTGGGTGACATTCTGTATTGCCTAATTTGGTAAGATACTCCTGTCAAAGAAAAACAACTAAGTCAATATTAACAAACTTTTTAGCAAACATCAATTTCCATATGAAAAATGAAACATAAGCTGATAAGCTTTACCTAAGACACTATGAACTTTAACTTTAGAAGACTGGGGAGCTCATCATATCCACTCTTACAGTTTGAAGAAAGCATACTAAAGCTAAATTGCTGTTAGAACAATGGGTTAGTCAGATTCTTGGCCCACTTACTTTTATTACTGTAAACCCAGGGCATGGTCCTAGCCACTCCCTTGTTTCCCCTTTCCTTTCCTTAGGCTGGCTCTTAGTGATCTGTGACAGTATTACCAGAAATACTTCCCTTCAGAGCATGTGCATGACCACTGAAGATTATTTAATCCAAAACAACTCAAAAATAATTCATGTGATATCTTTAGTAGGAGCAGTGATATTTGCATACTAATTTGGCCCTTTCTGTCAAGTTTCCATCTTCAAATACAGCACTACCTTTTCACAGGACACAAGTAGTTAATCCTTGATGAGCTCCCTGGCACTTTGCTTGCTTGCTGGCCAAACCCTGAAACAAACTGCATGATCCTGAGGTGACACTCTTCATTCCAAAGACAAGAGATTAATTTTCTGTACATTAGCAGAGCTGGTCAGATAGCATAATCAAAACCCTTCTTGACAAGGACTACCACTTGTCAAGACAGACAGCATTTTCCACAATGATTTTGCCTTCAACTGTGAAGTTTTTAGAAAGATCTCAAAGTACCTTGTAGTTTACTAATATGAAAAGCTAAATTATCTGACAGGATCATTGGTGACTGTGCTTTTTTTTTTTGTTGTTGTTATTATTTTGTCTTTTGAGACAGGGTTTCATTGTGTAGGTTTTGGTGCCTGTCCTGGAACTTGCTCTGTAGACCAGGCTGGCCTTGAACTCAGGGATCTGCCTGGCTCTGCCTCCAAGTGCTGGGATTAAAGGCATGCGCCACCACTGCCAGGCCGACTGTGCTCTTTTTACATTTTTTTTAATATTTATTTTATGTATGAGTGACCTGTCTTCATGCACACCAGAAGAGGGAATCAGATCCCATTATAAATAGCTGTGAGCCACTATGTGGTTGCTGGGAATTGAACTCAGGACCTCTGAAAGAAGAGCCAGTGCTCTTAACCACATTTCACCAGCCCCCTTTTTACAGCTCTTAATTCTAACTTCAAAATTCATATTATTCTGGATACTACTGCATAATTGATATAGTAACAAAACAGTCTGATTTCAGAAATATTTAGAACTTTAAATTATTAATGGCCTTTTACCCTAAGCTTTAGCAAGAAAATTTCCACTGAAACAGCACTCATAAAGCAGGGTCTGGTGGATCTCTATCTGAGTTTGAGGCCACCTTCCTTGGTCTACACATGAGTTCCAGGACAGCCAGGACTACATAGTGAAACCCTGCCTAAAAAAAAAAACTAATAAAAAATAATGTTCCAACCTAATTTTCTACAAGACTTGAAAGAGAGAAGTCTTATTCTATGTAAATAATGATAATAATTTATGCTATAATTCAAAGCACCACTCATAGAGAATTCTATTTCCTATCTCTTCAATACAGATGTCACACGGGTATTTACCAATCCATTTTTTAAAAGGGAAAATTACATTGTGTTCAACTTAACTCTCTTGCCTAGTACTACACCAACATGCAGCTATTTCGAGAGTTCTGTGTTAGAAATGTGTTTCTAGAGTTGTGACAGTTAATTGCAGAGGACCAAGATGCACCCAAATCTCTTTTCACCCTCCTAAGAAAACGTAAGGAAAGCACAACAGTGCTAGGCATCCTTTTCCATTTCAATGTTCTTCTTACTTGGGATACCACATCAAACAAGCTAACAAGAGATACCTTATGAAGATAAATGGATTATGCATTTGTTATTAATACTGAGTTTCTGAACTATTTAATGTTTTAAGTCATTTATAGTCCCTCTGCTTCCTCTAACAAGACATACAGAAACTCCAGTTACAATAAATAAATTCCACAAATGGGAACAAGCAGTTACTTCAAAACCCCCAGATCAAATACCTGAAATGGTATTCTACAGCTTTGTAGACCACTAAGTTTTTTAATCATTAAAAGCTGACAGTGGTCAGGACATCAAGAATAGACACATGAATGTATCACTATGCCCGTTCTGGACAGCTGTTTCCATCTGATATAAGTTGTCCTAGAAACTCCGTATGTGCACTTTACTACCCTCCAAAAATAATAATAAAATAAAAACACCTAAGTTTTTTTTTTTTTAAGCTAATCTCAGAATCAAGTAAATCTGCAGTATGACCAGAGGCTTCTTCCTACCCCATCACAGCAGGGGGTGGGGGCGGGTGTCAAACTCTGGGTTTGACACATGCTAATTGAGCTGCAGCTCCAGGCACTTAATTATACAAAAAAAGATTCTGACATGTACAATGTTGAGATCATAGATTCTATGTTTAGTTCAATGCACTCCTATTTTATTCAATTATGAATTACTAAATTCAGAAACTATATTATGGCCACCTTTAAAATTCAATTTTATTTTATAGATTTCAGACCACTGAGTTTATATAGTGCTATGGTTACCTTCTCAATAGTTACCTTTATTTCTTTGCAAAGCACACTTTCCTCTTCTTCATGAATGTAAAATTTCACAGTATTTTTCTGGACGTCTTTCATTATTTTAACCAAACTATTAAATACTTCAGGTTCTAACTGGCTTATAAAATTTGAAAGAGCTGGCTGTGCAGAAATGTTTATATCACTGGGTGATTTTGTTATTTCTTTTTCTACTGGTTCCAGGGCAGTATCACCAGGTACAGTGTGATCAGAAGTCAACATGAACTCCTTGCAGTGGTGTGGCTGGTTCATTTCTATTTGAAGCGAAGAGGAATACTGCTCATTAGAACTGTTATCTTTCAAAGGTTCAGGACACAGTGGCTCAAAAAGGTCTTTACTGCTGAAGTCACTTGAGGAAATGGATACAACATGCCTTCCCAGAGGAGTCAATGCTGTTGTATGAGAATGACTAGGACTTACTGGTGGCAAATTCCCACCCTTAGCTGATGCTTTAATAATAATAGTATTCAGTTTTTCGTGCAAACCATCTACAAATTCCTGTACACCAGCTTTTGAAGTCTTAGAATATATGAACTCAGAAAGGCGATTCATCTTCTCTTGTGCTGAAAAAATAGGTGTGGAAATTGTACTAACATATGAAACATTCTTTTGCTTCAGAATCTCTTCTATCTTTCTAGAAAAGAGATGGAACTCTCCTAACACTGTGTTCTCTGTGGTTTCGCTCACTGTAGGAGGCTCTGCTGCTGGCACACACTGCTCTTCCACTGTCACCACTTGACCTGTCAACAGGTCCTCCTCAGTGGTGCCCTTTACAGTGTCTGTAAACGGAGAGGATGGAAACTGGTAATCGGAACTTCTTTCTCTATTTATTACCCGAGGGTCATTAGGAAAGGCTTCCGCTGGTGGTAGACACACCAGTTGTTCTCCTGGTGATTTCATTCCTATACAAGAAGAATTTATTATTATAAGAGCAATCCAAATGGTAACATTAAAAAACTAACAAAAATTCATTTTAAAACACATCAGTTTAGGTATATATTTGAAAATATGCATTGCAAAGTAAATTAAAAACCTCAAAAAACTGTGTGAACCCTATCTGCTCTACTTATAGGCTAGGCTTTAGATTTCAGTCGACAGAGCAGAAACAGTGAACAGCTTCTATGCTTTCTTTCCAAGTGTTCAAAAGGGCCTCTTTGGAAAAAGATTAAAAAAAAAAAAAAAGTGCCTCTTTGGCATAAACATGTTAAGTCACTTCCCTGCTTTGCTTTCCTACCTTTCTATACATCTGATGTTAACAGACTATTATAATACTGGATTCCATAGACAAGTAATGATAATACCACTTTAGTTTAAGAATGAAAATAAGGCAACTGGAAGGCCCAACAGAAATACTGTAGCATTTAAGATCTTAAAAAAGTAGGGGTTGAGGCCGGGCGGTGGTGGCGCACGCCTTTAATCCCAGCACTTGGGAGGCAGAGCCAGGCGGATCGCTGTGAGTTCGAGGCCAGCCTGGGCTACCAAGTGAGCTCCAGGAAAGGCGCAAAACTACACAGAGAAACCCTGTCTCGAAAAACCAAAAAAAAAAAAAAAAAAAAAAGTAGGGGTTGGAGAAATGGCTCATGTGGTTAAGAGCACTGGCTGCTCTTCCAAAGGTCCAGGATTCAATTCCCAGCACCCACATAGTAGTTCCCAACTGCCTGTAACTCCAGACCCAGAGTATCTGACACCGTCATACAGATAGATATACATGCAGGCAAAACCTCGAAGTACATTAAATAAATCTTTAAAAAAATTAAATAATTGTGTCTATTTTTAGGCTGGCTTTCACATACAGGTTGGTTAATGGATTGCCTACAACTTAACAAACTCATTCTGTCAGGAAAGAAAGGCTCAAAAAAAGAACTGAAATATTTCATAACTGCATTGAGTAGTACCTTTGATAATGCTCTCCTAGTATTTTAATTTATTTGAAAATAATTCCAAAAAGAAATAAGAAATTTTTTTCCTTATTTCTTTATTCCTGTAATCCAAAACTACGCATTTGGATGACAAGGTCTTTGTGTAACCCAGTGCTAATAGGACCACAACCGTTGACTTGTAAGAACTGGCTCAATCTGTAAGATGACACTGTTGTTTCCCCACAAATCTTAAATTCAAACATGACTAAGTTCTTAAAACTACTTTTCAAAGCAAGCACCCTATTTTTAAATATAAGAGTAAAATATATCTAACTTTAATTTATAGTAATATATTTTAGAGAAATAAAGTCAAAATTTTTGCCTAAAATGTTATCACACAATTAAGACTTTGAAAAATTAGAAATTTTTGGTCTTAAGCCAACACCGTTCCCTAACACAGCACTACTATAGTATAGACAATGCTGACTCTAGATCAGAAAATCCACTTATAAATTTTCAAGCCTATAGTACTACAGTGAATTTACAATCCAAGTTTGTACTCAGATGTAGCTGCACATTTTTTCTACACAAAATCCCATTTTTATTTTCCGTACACTCAGTTTTTCAATGTCATGACCACTACATTCAATTACTGTAAAGACACTTATACAGTAAGAACAGGGACAAAGGTCAAAACAAAAAAAAAAAAAAAAGCAAAACACCCAATTTGTCAACAATTAAAACTGCGTGAAATGAATATTGTAAAGTTCAAGTTCTACAAGACTCAGGAATATTCTACCCTTAAATTTACAACATTAAAAGTGTAGTTTAATATAAAGTATATAAAAGGCCATATAAGAAATTGGTAGCCAGGTGGTGGTGGCACACGCCTTTAATCCCAGCACTCAGGAGGCAGAGCCAGGCAGATCTCTATGAGTTCAAGGCCAGCCTGATCTACAGAACGAGATCCAGGACAGGCACCAAAACTACATGGAGAAACCCTGTCTCAAAAAACCAAAAAGAAAAAAGAAAAAAAGAAATTGGTAACAATGGCTAACCTGTTGAGAGCAAAGTAAACATACTTAATACTTTTTTCTGTTTTTTAAACCCCATTCTCTTTTGTTTTTGTAAGACAGTGTCAGGGTGGCTTTGAACTCATAAATCTTCCTGCCTCAGCCTCCTGAGTACTAGATAAATTGAGAGCAATTATTTTGATTAAAATAGTAAGTTTTTATTAATTGATTAATATAGGTAGTCTTCAACACATTTATTTTATGACAATATAGGTGTCTGTCTTTAACAGATGTTTGAAATAAGAGCTAGGTTTGAGCTACCACACCACTGGGGGGGGGGAAATCAGGACATGAATTTTCAACAGCTTTTTAAAAAATTTAAATGTAACTTAAATCTCATGTAGAGTTTTCCATATTAAAACTTCTAGGGGCAAGCCAGGATGGGGGCACACACCTTTAAATTAATCCCAGTCCTTGGTAGGCAGAGGCAGGCAAATCTCTGAGTTTGAGGCAGAGCAAGTTCTAGGACAGCTTGGGCTCACATGAAAACCTTCTGTTTCAAAACAAAACAAAATTCTAGAGACAGTCAGTGGATAAAAGCTTGATGGCAAAACAGCCTACCTGAAAGAGCAGGCTTCTGTTTCAGTACAGACCAACCCTCAAAGTAAGAAGGCAAACAGCAATAGAGAAAAAACAAAAGTTCTCCTCTGGCCTCCATATATACTTAGTTACACCAGAACACTCAAATGTACTCCTCACATACCCACACATGACAATTATAAGCCAAATAAACCTCTTTGAATTGTGAATAAACGTGTTTATTTTGTACAAATTACTCCATTTGATTTTAAGATCAACACTTTTTAAAAAACAATCTTTAGCTAGGCGGTGGTGGCGCATGCCTTTAATCCCAGCACTCGGGAGGCAGAAGCAGGTGGATCTCTGTGAGTTCGAGGCCAGCCTGGGCTACAGAGTGAGTTCCAGGAAAGGCGCAAAGCTACACAGAGAAACCCTGTCTCGAAAGAAAAAAAAAAAGCCTTCATCGATAAAAAAAATTTAACAGAGATGTCATATCTATATATCTATAATTTGTGTTTATTTTACTGACTGTTGACAAAGTACCAATCATGTGACTTTTTTTTGTTCGTTTGTTTTTTTTTTTGTTTTTTTTTTTTTTTGGTTTTTTCGAGACAGGGTTTCTCTGCGTAGTTTTGCGCCTTTCCTGGAGCTCACTTGGTAGCCCAGGCTGGCCTCGAAC